TGTGTAAGGATCAAGTATCGATCAGAGTTCAGATTTGTTCAGCTGTCAACTCATACTTGTACTGATGGTAATGATGAAAAGTCTTGATGCACACCAAAAAAGGCCTGTTTTTTGCTTTGGTAGATGAACAAGACCCTAATAGAGATACAAAGAAGGTATCAAATTCTCACTTTCAGACAAGGACACCACGTGACAAGAAAGAACATCGCTTCAACATAGGGGAAAACAGGACCTCTCTCTGTGGGACCCGCCTCGTGGCTCATCTCTCATTTGCCCATGGCAGCCGCAAACTCTGCACGGGACAGGCTGCCATCTCCATTGGTATCCATCTTGGTCAGCACAAACTCAACTCGCGTGCTTTCATAGACACATATGTGGACCATCTGCACAGAGTGCATCTGAAGTCGAATTAAATAGAAGCAAAACAAAAATGTGGTCCGGTTGTTCATGGACGATCATGTTGCAACACTTATTGCAGCGCTGATAATGTTGCAGCACTCGTTGCAGCACTGGTCCTTGAAATCCCACTGCTATGGCTAGCTGCTCTAGGTAAAAATGGTACAAAAACAACAACTGGAAGTCTAAGGCTCTAACCTTTGCGAAGAGGTCCTGGGAAAAAGAGTTATGTTGTAATTCAAAAGAATAACAATAATATCACTCTCAGACTTGCACCCATGTCAAATAATGCAGCCAAGCCACTTGCTGACCGGAAGTGGTTGTGTATTGCACAGGTGATGGTGCCAGGATGGCCGCCGATGGCACAAATGTTGGGGATGCAGCATATTGCACCGGTGCCCCATAGGTCTGTGGCGCACCATAGGTCTGTGGTGCACCATAGGTCACTGGCTGAGATGTATAGATGGGCTGCCCTGTGGTGTAGGTTGTCATAGGAGCAGAAGTGATGGTTTGGGCAATTGCAGCAGAGCCAGCCGTCGCTGTTGTGGCTGCTGGCGCTGTGACGTACACTGGAGGTGCGGTAATGGTTGCAGTCACAGGCACTTGTTGTTGAGGTGCTGAAGTGTAGATTGGCTGCGCCGCTGAAGCAGATAACCCAGTCGTCGTGTAAATTGGCTGTGCTGCCGAAGCAGATGCCCCAGTCGTCGTGTAAATTGGCTGTGCTGCCGAAGCAGATGCCCCAGTCGTCGTGTAAATCGGCTGTGCTGCCGAAGCAGAGGCACCAGTGGTTGTGGTGTAGATTGGCTGTGCTGATGCAGGTGCCGCATAGATCATACCTGCCTGTGGCGCTGGTTCCGGGGCCGCAGCAGGAGCAGCATAGATCATTGGCTGCTGGGGTGCTGGAATTGGCTCAGGGGCTGCAGCTGGAGCCGCATAGATCATGGGTGCTGGCGCTGGTTCAGGGACAGCAGCGGGAGCAGCGTAGACCATCGGCTGCTGGGGCGCTGCCGCAGGAGCTGCATAGACCATTCCAGGCTGCTGAACTGCGGCATAGCTTGTCATTGGCTGGGCTGCATAAGTCATCGGCTGCAAAGCAGACACTGACGAGATGGTTTGAGGCACAGCCGCTGAGCTGGTCATGGCAGGCATAGTTTCTGTGGTGACTGCAGGAGCTGTCACGTACACTGGGGGCGCAGTGTAGGTGGCCGTCACTGGAACAGGCTGTGGTTCGGCGGTGTATGCGGTCACTGGAGCACCATAGGTCACCGGAGGCTCCATGGCAGGTGCAGGCTCAGTGGTGACAGCAGGAGTGGTGAGGTACACTGGAGGTGCAGTGTAGGTTGCAGTTACAGGAGCAGGAGCTGAGTATGTTGCTGGCGCAGCTTCTGTGGTGACAGCGGGGGCTGTGACGTACACTGGTGGGGCAGTGATGGTGGCAGTCACAGGGGCAGGTGCAGCCGCGTACGTTGGTGGAGCCATCTCCGTGGTGACAGCCGGAGCTGTGACGTACACTGGCGGGGCAGTGATGGTGGCAGTCACAGGGGCAGGTGCAGCCGCATATGTTGGTGGAGCCATTTGAGTCGTGGCAGCAGGGGCTGTCACATACACTGGAGGTGCAGTGTAGGTTGTGGGAGCAGAATAGGCCACGGGCTGAGTCACTGAGCTCACAGTCTGTGGAGCACCGTACATCACTGGTTGTCCAGTGGTATACGTCACTGGCTGCCCAGTTGTGTAGGTCGGCTGCCCTGTTGTGTAGGTCCCTGTTGTATAGGTCATCGTACCAGGGACGGCCGCTGCCTGGAAACCAGTCTTGGGCAACAGAAAAGCACCTGTCATGATTTGAAGGCGTTCAACAATGCTGAGGCATGCGCAACTCCTCCTTGCATCATCGCATTGAACTCCTGTTCAAGCCAGGCAGTTTCAACCCGGCCCCCTTTTCCACAAACAGCATCTTGAAATCAAGTCCGTGGCACAATCAAGAAGGGCACCAGCCCGTTTTTCCAGCTGTTGCTTCTCCCCCAGCCTCTCGGCTAATCTGTCCATCATTGTTGGCATCCATGGCAGCAAATGCATCCTGCCAAAAATGTCAGGTTCGCGTGCGAATGCTCCTTATTCAAGGAAAACATGATGTAAAAATGAAATCTAAATTTATCTACCTGCGTGGAAATATCACAACATGTAGAGGGGCATGGTCCGGTATATATGGCTCTAAAATCGGGACCTCCAGCCATTCTGTGGATGTGCTTGCAATATCCATTCAGGGGGCAACGTATCTCAGCTGCAAACTGGTTAATGCAAAGAGAAACATCCAAAAGCGGTCCGTGGCCATGGCTGCAAGTGCGGACGTGATAGACGCAATCTACACTCACTCGCTTTGCTCAGATCCGGAAAGCTTCACAGAATCTTGCAGGTCGGTGCGCAAGGCCACAGCGCACCGATGCGATGGCTACGTGATGGCTACGTCCGAGATCTCACTCCGTTCGGAACGCGATGCCCCAAATGTTCCGTTCGTAGCGTCCTTGTTACTAGTAGTAAGGCCAGGAGCTACTAGTACCGTCCTTCTTTAGTCGCAAAAACAGCGTTGATGCCCGCACCTAAACCATGTATGCACGACTTCACACAAACACGAACGACTTAACCCTGGCACCCAGTAGGGCTATGCTTTTCCTTCGCACGTAGTTTCGTGGTAGGGAAGTGATATTTGAGCCTGAAGTTTTAGCCTCAGAGCCACCTTTGGGCTCATGGACCAAACAATTTCTCAATCCGCGCTCGCATTTCCTCAGAACAGTAAATCAGACCTGCGAAGTCAGGGACTTCACTTGATGGTATATAGCTGCTCACAGCGCTTGAAATCGACTAAAACCTCGCCTCCCAAGCAGCTGTCATCTGGAGCTGGTGGAGCAGCTGTCTTCTGTGCAGTTGGAACCTGTTTCACTGTTTCGTCTATGTCGAAGAAAAAAGCGATCCTCTGTTGAACCACCCGGGCTCTGGCCATAATGACAGAGATATCGTCACAATACTCGTCCTCTTCCTTCCACTTTGCTCGAGCAACCTCCCACAAGGAAGAGTTAGAATGCAAGGCTTCCTTCTGCAAGTCTTCTGCCTGCCTGTGCCACTTCTCTCACAATGGCTTCCTTCGGCATGCCAACGGCCAGCTTGCCTCAGGGCACCCACGACATATTGCCTCAAGTCTAAGCCGCTAGCGAAAAAAACCCTAGTAGTGTCCTTGTTACTAGTAGTATGGTCAGGAGCCCCTAGTAGCGTCCTTGCTCCTAGTAGCGATGCCCTTTGCTCCTAGTAGCAACCAAGGGGTGCAAAGGTTTTCAAGACACACCCCTTTGCACCCCTCTCTCTCATTTGTGTCGAGAAGCTCTGGACGATCTTGGCAATGTCATCGCTGCTCAAAAACTCCCAGACACCATCGCTCGCTAGGATGAAGTGGCCCGAGCTGTCAAGCTCCTGGAGTGGATGAAATGTGCATTGTTAATTTTGAATGTTCGTTCGAAAACCGCAAGGAAAGACCTTCTCCAGCTTGAAGATCTCTGGTTCAGCTATCACACCGAATCTTTTGTACCTGCGTCAGAGACACAGAAATACACGACGACCGTGCATTTCTGAGCAAAATGCAAGAAGCCGAGACACATTAAATCGCCCAAGGATCGAGTAAAGCCAAGCTCCGGCACTCTTCCACGTTCTCCCTCCACGCACTTAGCAAAGCAGGCAGTGAAATGTGTGGTTTTGTATGCTTTTGTTATGTCTTGGTGACAAACCGAATCACTGGCGCATTCCAACTCTTCCAGAAATTGCTTCAATGCCCGAGGTCAGCACAATCTTCTCCAGTTCCTCTCCATTCTCCGCCGCGCTGACGGTGATTTCACAGCCATGTCGGATAACGCGCTCACGCTCGACAGGATTGGAAGGCTTATGGTCGTTGGTTGAGAAAGACACCTTGCCATCGCCACAAAGATGAATCGCACGGGAGTCCCCAACGCAAGCGACCCAAACGATGGGGCTGTGGATTTGCCGGAGAATACAAACCACCGTGGTCCCAGCCACGAGCAAATTGATGTCATCTTGTTCCGCGGCAGACTCCAGGTCTTCTTCCATCCGTTCAAAGGCAGAATTCAATGCAGACTCCACCTCACCCTTGCACAGCAAACTTCGGCAATCCCGGGAGCTTAAAAAATACGGGAGTATCCGCACCACGCGATCCGAGACCCAATGACCCCCTGGCCCATGACCATCAGCAATACAATGCAGGCGAAAGCCTCCAGCTAATCGCGCACAACTGAAGTTGTCTTGCCCTGGGGAGAAGTCATCAATATCTTTGCAGCCCTTGCAGCAAAAAGCTGCTATATCATGTCTAGCCTCAGATCGAATTTGAAACAAGACTGGCACTGCAGCGCAGCTGAAGAAGAAAACACAAACAAACTGATTGTGATGCCACGTGACCAAAACGCTTTCGCCAGACTCCCGCGACCTGTGGTCGGCCACGTCTCCAAAAGCAAACGTTGAAGCACAGGACAGGTGAGAAACTAGGGGGACGCCTTGGCAAAAGGCCAAGCTTGCGTTCTTGATATGGCTCTTCCCAGGTTGACATCTTACTATGAACCTTGAGCAGATCAGCCAAGTGAGGGTGTCTATCAAATCAGAAGTGCTTGTACGTGCTCTATCAAGCTCGGCCGAGGGCGAACCAAAGGCCACTCCTTATATCATACAAGTTTGACAACAGGAAGCGAAAGTCAAACATGACGTCTGAAGCCGCAATGGCCTCTGTTGCCAGAAAGCTTCAAATTGCTCCAGACCTGCCGGAGTTTTCTCTCCGTCACTTCGTCGTCCAAGTTGGCGAAGAACTTCTCCTAGACCAACTGAGCATGCGCAAGTGCACAACACATCACAACGACCAATTCGAACTTATACCTCGCTAGTAGGTTGGAGGCCATCGCTCTTAGGTAACCCTGGCTCGAAAAAAACATCAATTCACGACCGTTGGTCCTTGTCTTCTTCATTAAAGTTGTCCTTCGAGATCACCTCTCGTTCCTTGGTCGACATCCGAAAGCAGGACTAGAAATCCCTCAATCTATCCTATTCTCTCAAAAACACCATTTTGAAGAATTGAAGAAACCTCCAGCATGTCAACTGAATAGATTGCAAAAGAATGGTTTGCCAGCTTCAACGGGTTCATAGCATCGTCACTCCGTTACATACAACAAATGTCAACTTGTGTTTAAGTTTAAACCGTGGAATCATGGTGAATCATGTACATGCTGGCTTCAAATTCTGGTTCTGAACCATAGAACTGTGTAGCCAATGATTGTGTGCTTCCGAGACACTAGATTGTAGAAGGATCGACGACTCTTGAGTCTGGAGCCCCTTAGTTGAACCATCTTGGCTCCTAAAGATTCCAAATGGTTCCCTAACATTCTTGGCCTCCAACCATTGAGAATCCGCCTGTGCAGACGCCATCTGGGCCAAAAAAGTCAAAGACAGCAAACCTGTTTGGCAGGTTTGGATTTCAGTGTGCAGCTCGTGTTGACCGCTCGTTTGGGTCACAGCGGTCAATGACTCAGCCGTGGCTAGCAAGCGAACACATGAGCACGACACCTTTTTGGTGGCTTTTGGCAGATCCGCTGGATAGGGTCCACAGACATGTGCTGCATGTGCAGGTGGATCTCTATGTGCAAGACTGGTCAAAGCCAGCATCAGAGAAACTCTGGAATTGAGAAGGACCCCTGGCAGTCGTACTCATGAGTAGTCCTTGATAATTCAACCAGATATATGACTTGAGTTAACAGTTACAATTTACAAGTGTTATACACCATTGGACAAAGAAGACCAGCAACGCACCGCGCGTGCCCTGCTCAGAACTTGAACTTGGTCTTTTCCTGCAATGGAGGAGTGGATCCCCAGGTTTTGCAAATCTGACTAAGGTGTGTATGTGTGTGTGTGTGTGCCTCCATCTTCAAAATCAGATCCTTTGCGTAAATGTACTCCAGCAATAGAAGGCTGCGCTAAAGGTATCACCAGAAAACTCTATGCTGGGCCAATGAAATGGAAAAGCATTGAAAAGACTTCGCACCTACATGACTACAAGCTTCAAGCTTCGCACCTACTTGGCAACTACAGTTGAAGCTGATGGAGATGAATGTATGTTGTTCTTCTTTTGGATGACTGTTTCCATCTTTTTCAAGAACGACGGACATCGTTTCCGCGTTTCCGCTGCGCGGAAAGCTGGTCCTTTCTCTTCTTGGCTGGCTTCGCCACGGTTTTCTTCTGCTCCACCTGGCCGCTGCTGAGCTTCGGCCAAAACGATCATGGATCCCCTGGAGCGGCGGAAAACCTCCGTCGCAGGACGTGCCCCACGTTCCCCACGTTCACGTCCGGCCTCTTTCTGACCAGCAGCCAGTTTTGCCTTGGCCGCTGCCTCTTCATGCTGCTTGAGCTGCTGGCCTCGGGCTTCAAGAAAGTCTCACGATCTTCATGGAGATCTGTCAGGGGTTTGGTTGTATCCACCAGGTTTCCAACGAATGATGTCTGCCGTGAGAATACCTTCAGTCTCAACCTGCAGAATTGAGGAAGTTCATGTCTCTGGCAAAGCAAACTCATCAGCTTGATGCATTCACCTCACCTGCTCGGGGTTCAGGTTCATGGTCACAGGCCCAGGAGTGTCTGCTCCTCCCACTGGAGTTGGTGCCTGGAGTTGGTGCAAACTAGCTTGGAACGGGACATTTGGAGCAGGCTGAGAAAATGGCTCCAGGGATACCAGTCGGAGTGGACACGCCGCCGACAGGCGTGGCCTCTGGCAAAAAAAACTCTGAAATAGTTGTGACTTGGCAAGCTCACAAGCTCCTACAAATACAGCCTCTTGTGGCAAACAACCACTGAGGTAAAGGCAACCCCTGCCGGCGTATGCTGCCCAACAGGTGTTGCAATACCGCCCACTGGCGTTGCCTGGGATGAAAAACGAAGAAAGGCAAAAACACGTTTGAAACGAGAAAGCTGCCAGACTGTCTGCATCCATGGGGCAATGCCACCCACTGGTGTGGCAATGCCACCCACTGGAGTGGCAATACCACCTTCCAAGCGTCAACAAGCGCTTTTTGTTCAGTTGCGTCCTTGCTCCTAGTAGCGATGCCAGGAGCCCCTAGTAGCGTCCTTGCTCCTAGGAGCCCCCAGTAGCTTCTTGTTCCTTTAGTAGCGGCTGAAAGATTGACTCACGTACACTGGCCAGCCTACTGGAGTTGCAATGCCACCAACTGGCCTGGTGATTGGTCAGTTAATGCAAAGTGTCTGCTGCGCTCAAGACGCAAAAACCAGGTTCTAGCTTGAAGCAAGTGACGTCTGAACGCCGCCACCCACAGGTGTGCCAATGCCGCCAATTGGAGTGCCAACCCCCGGAGTGCCCATTCCAGGCGTCCCTGTGCCAGTTCCTGTTCCTGTGCCATGGCCTGGAGGCGAGCCATGTCAAAAGGTCAAGAATAAAGGAAACTACTGCGGGAGTTTCCTCAAGATCCAGATTCTGATCCCATTGGCAAATTCTACTGAGCTGGGAAACTTGTTTTGATCACCCTCGTCGTGACGGGTGACTGCACACTTTAGCCACACCTGCTGAGCCAACACCCAAAGGAGTGGTGATTCCATGAGGCGTCCTTCGACTTTCGCGCAGCGTTCGCGTTCGCGTTCGCTGCGTTCGCAAGCTCTGCACTCCGGCCTCTGTCTTTAGCCATTTTCCCTCAAGGTATAATAATGGGAATAAAATGTCCGTCGGGGTACACGTGAAAGAGTTGTCTTCTTGTAAGTTGGGTTCAGGTTTGGATATTTGAACATGCAAAGAATGTTCTTCGTATGGCGGGCTTTAACCTTCTTTGCATTAAATCTGTCTGTTTCATTTACGAGATAAAAGGTGTGCTAAAGTGAGCTTCTGAAACTGGCAGTGCCGTTGGCTGTGGATCCGGCAACCATAGAGATCGGTTGGGATGAGATGAGTCAACAAGGAAAAGAAAGTGTGAGACAAAGGACGCTAGAACGGAGCAAAGGGCATCGCTACTAGGAGCAAGAACGCTACTAGGGGCTCCTGGCCGTACTAGGACGCTATTAGAAACAGCACACAAGAAGAACCATGTCCTCGTCCCCATACCAGGTGTACCAATCCCGTGCGGCCTCGGCCACCGCGGATTCATCACGCGGTTCCGGCGGATTCCTATGGATTCCTATGGTTTCTCCTTCAATCTGAGTCCATATTGCAGCTTATTGCACCAGAGTGCTCCTACTAGCGATGGCCTCTAGAAGTGATGGCCTCCCTAAGTGCCCAACGTCCCAATGCCATGCGGCGTGCCAATGCCAGCGATTGGAGTACCTGGTGTTCACTGCCATGTCTGCGCCGATTGGAGGACTTCAAAAATACACCAAACTCTAGACCCCATTGGCGTCGCACCAATTCCACCAATTGGTGTTCCAATGCCAGCCAACCTCACAGGTCAGAACGTGAGGCTTCCCTAGAAGCAGATCCAACGATCTGGACCTGGATGATCAGTCACGATCATTCTAAAGGCATCTAAAGGCCAAGCAGCACATGTCTGTCATCTCCCCATCCTCCCCACACTTCCCGCGTGTACACTTGGCATCGCTACTAGTAACAAGGGCATCCCTACTAGTAGCTAGAAACACTAGTAGCTCCTGATATCGTTACTAGTAAAAAGGGCATCGATACTAGTAATAGTAGCTAGTAGCTACTAGTAGCTCCTGGCATCGCTACTAGTAACAAGGGCATCGCTATTAGTAGCTAGAAACACTAGTAGCTCCTGGTATTGTTACTAGTGACAAGGGCATCGCTACTAGTAGCTAGAAGCTACTAGTAGCTCCCGCCATCGCTACTAGAAACAAGGGCATCCTACTAGTAGCTCCTGGCATGGCTACTAGCAGCAAAAGCAACGCTACTAGCAACAAGGGCATCGCTACTAGTAGCTCCTGGCATCGCTACTAGCAGCAAAAGCATCGCTACTAGCAACAACAGCATCGCTACTAGTGACTAGTGCCCTGTGGCGCTACTAGTAGCTCCTGGCATCGCTACTAGCAGCAAAAGCATCGCTACTAGCAACAAGAGCATCGCTACTAGTGGCCTGTGGAGCTACTAGTAGCTCCTGGCATCTCTACTAACAACAAAAGCATCTCTACTAGTAACAAGGGCATCGCTACTAGTGGCCTGTGGCGCTACTAGTAGCTCCTGGCATCGCTACTAGCAGCAAAAGCATCGCTACTAGCAACAAGGGCATCGCTACTAGTGGCCTGTGGCGCTACTAGTAGCTCCTGGCATCGCTACTAACAACAAAAGCATCGCTATTAGTAACAAGGGCATCGCTACTAGTGGCCTGACATCGCTACTAGTAACAAGAAGCCAAAAAGCTACGACCCTATTGGCATCTTTTCCTCGCCGAGAAGCGGAGTTCCGGTGCCCGAGCTGCCCACACCGCCCATCGGCGTGGACGAGCCGCCGCCGCTCCTAGCATGAACCGTGCGGCACGTGCAGGCAAGCGTCAAATTGGTGTCGTGCCAAGTAGAGAGATGTTTGGTTGCAAAGAAACGCATGAAAGCGCATAGTCACATATCATATCAATTCATATCCAACCTGTCCAATTTCCTGACGCAACTCCTGCTCACTGACGGAACCTCTTTTGTGGAGCCTTTGACTTCTGGATGTTTCGATGTGTTTCATGTGTCAAGCAGACTCCCCCAGCTCTGCCTGCTCCCCACTTTGTAGGTGTGAGAGGTAGGGTACACCTTGGACTTTTCAGGTCAAAAACAGCCGACATCACCCTTTGGCTCGTCCTGGACTCACCTGGTGGGACTCACCATGTACGCCGACTCTTGGTGCCCAACCCCTTTCTTCGCTGATCTCGACTTCTGCTCTTCCAGGACCTTCAGATTGACAGACAATTGCATGCTTCCCTGAAGCGAACAATGCCCTAAGGAACTCAATGAAGCTGAAGAATGCAACGGCCCTCTCTTTTTTCTAACACAATCGTAACATCCAGTCATCCAGTCCTATCAAGTCACCCTGTCCTATCCATGTTCGCTCATACCTCTTTTTGCGAAGCGTACTTAAATGTCAAACTGAGCTTTCAGCCTGGAAGAGTTGTGGTGTGGGAGTCAAGGACGCAGAGCTAATTCCACTCACCTCGATGATCCAAACGATCCAGCCAACAAAAAGGGCTGTGCCAGGTATACAAAGGGTACTGGTCCGAGCGCTTTCAGGTGCAATCCACGTGGCATGCTGATCTGAAAAAGGAGAAATCTGACACCCAATGGCAGGGGCGGCGAAAGGGGTGGCGCAGGGGGATGGTCAGTGGCTTCGAAGATGCGGATGGTGGGTGGAGGGTCACGGTCCATTGGGAAAGGGAATCAACCAATGCAGACCACAATGGGGCACTGCTGCGGAGGCTGATCAACAATCGAACATGGCCTTCAAGTTACTCATCAGCTTCATTCATTCGGATGATAGCATGCAAAGGTTGCTCAAATCAAGTCGCCCAAAAAAATAAGTCTTAGCCTTTTCAAGGCTCTGCCAGTTCGGCCCGGTGGCTCAGCGGAATGCCAATCTTGCCATGTCACGGATGCGATGCCCCCCTTCTTGCTGCGAGTGCCAGTTCCAGGCCTTGTTGCAAGTGCCCGCACTTCAGCTCTGACACCGGATTTTGCACCAGTGAAACGGAGCCGCGGAAGGTCAAACGACCATCTTTTGGCCACCCACTGACTCTTACTTTTCTTTTGGTTAGCTTGTCTTGTCAAGTTGTCAACGGACTCAAACGAACTAAAGATTCTACTGCAAGAACAAAGAGCTGACCTAGGAACCTGACGTGTCCATTCCACTTGTAATGGACGAAACCCCACTGATGCTGTGAACACCACCTGACCTGAGCCCAGCAGGAAGCTTGTGGCAACATGATTGGTCGAGTCATTGTAAGGGTCGTCCAACTATACTATTCAAACGGAAGACGTATATCTGTTTCAAATACAAAAGTTAGAATGGATTTACATATCGTGCATCCTTTTTGCCGACTGACACTGATACCTTTCAGATTGTCCAAATTTACATGGGCCGATGAAGATTCGCAGAACCAATCAATGAAGAAGACTCTCCCATAGGAATAAGTGCTGCACACCACAGGGGTCGCAGAGCCGGAACCCACCAGTGGAGTCGCGGTGCCCAGCATTGGAGTTGCTGTGCCCTCACCCCTTAGAGAGATCAAAATGGCCCAAGGGAAACCAAGGAAGCCATTTCGATCTGGAAGCGAAGCGCACAGCTCTCTGAGCTCTCTGAGACTTCTGAGTTCCTGTCCTCTCGGCCTCTACTTCCTCGTCATCTTCCTCTACAGCTTCCAATTGTGGAGAGTCGAAAAGAATTCACAACTTGTAAACATGCCTCCTCCTCGAAGTCGTCCACTTCACCCCACAAGGTCATGTCCTCTGACAGCACAGCAACTTTACAAGACTGCAAGTCTTTTCAGTCAGACAATGTGACAAAATGAGTCCTCAGGCGCTGATGGAGTAGGAGCCTCCATCAGTGCATGCAACAAATCAATTGCAAGAAAGAAAGGGTCAGGAGGCTCAGGAACATTGCCTGGTCCGCCTTCCAGTCGCCATAGAGAGGGTTTCCAAACCTCATGGTCACACACAAGCTTTGCAGTCAGCTGAAGTGACACTTTCCAGGTTGATAGAACTGAGTCAAGCACTCATCGACCGGTGGCTTTCCCCAACCTCCAGGGTGGTATCCATACTCCGCACCCTGGCAGATGGTCTTGAGACTGCAAAGAGACGCCAGGGTGTCTCACGGTACGCGTCTATTGAACAATAAAATGTTGGAGACCCTCCAATGAGCTACCTAAGAGCGATGGCCTCCAACCCAAGAGCGATGGCCTCCAACCTAAGAGCGATGGCCTCCAACCTAAGAG